ATTGTTTTTAATATTAATTAGAAAAATAAAATTAATTATCAATTAAGATATTTATATTCAAGTAGTTATATGATATAAGTTATAAAAATTACTATAATATAACACATGTAAGTCGCACGAGTAACAAGTGTCATTTTAAAATATATATTTTTTGTAAAAAAGAAGTAAATAAAATTTAAATTAATTTTTCTCATTAATTTTAAAATATAAGAATAATTTTTTAACAAGTACCCGTGTAATACACGGGTGTTGTACTAGTGTTTTTTATTCAGGAATTATAATTGTATAATTATTTTTATTTCCTAAAACGATAGAAGACATTATATTTCTCAAACGAGAACAACGTTCTAATACAATCGGGGAAACTCCAAATAATCCGAAAACTAAAACTGAGAGGCTCATCAATATTATGGCCTAGATTGACTACAATAAGAGCTAAAAAACAACTATAGAAGCCCAAACCACTACCATATGGCCTGAATGCACTTTTATAATCAAAGAGAAGAGAAAGGAAAATCAAGCTACAACCCAAGTAAACTAATATTAGAAAATTCCTGCCATTCCCCTATTGCTGCCCTGGTAACCATATGCATCGGTGAGAGAGATTTTTGAAAGATCCAAGTGTTCCTAGTCTTCCACAACCACCATAGCAAATAAGTGGTTAGATGAATTCTGAAGGTGGCTGTATTAGACTCTGGAATAGAGCAGACTTGGTGCCACCAGGACTTGAAGGAGCATGATAAATGGAGAATTCCATCCCAGGAAACAGGAGCAAGTTTCCATAATGCTTTGGCTCTTTGGCAGTTCAACAACAGATGCTCCATTGTTTTCATGTCCCTCACAACATCTACACCATGGATAAAAATCTAGCCCTTTCTTCTGCAGATTGACCAAGACAAGAAAAGAACCATGTAAACATTTTCAGATGAATAATTTGATTTTTCTAGGAATCTTCAAAGTCCAACTTCTCTGTGGAGTATTCTGCATTCTCTTAGCAGAAGAACTGCTTTCACGCTGGTCAAGTGAGAGTTCTTTCTGCTTAGCTAGATAATTGTATGTGCAAGAGACTGAAAATTTGCCACTACTACTCAAACCCCAAAAAAATCTTGTCAACTTCTCCAGGCTTCAAAGTGTTGATTGCCAAAATTGCCTTACTGTCTTCTTCAGAGAATACTTGCTACACAAGCCATTGATTCTAACCTGAACAATCATCCAGTAACAGGTATTTCACATAATTGAGGTGGCCTCTAGCAATCTCTATCAGCTCAGGTTTTGCTTTATTCAGAGATGGAACCCAGTTGCAGTCTTCAATTCTAGTCCATGCTCCACTTCTGATTTTAGTTCTCAGGCATTTTGTAAGGATTGGAAGAGTGTCACGCCAACAGTTCTAGAGCCAAGATCCATTGGGGGATTTAGCAGCCTGGAAAAGAGATGATTTAGGAAAGTATTTCTCTTTTAGAACTTGACTCACAAGTAAATCTAGTTGAGATGAAATTCTCCCTAACTGTTTGCAAATAAGTGCTTGGTTGAAGAGGTGAACATCCTGAAATCCAATGCCACCATTCTACTTGGGGAGAGTCATCTTGGTCCAGCTTTTCCAGTGAATGTTGAGGCTTTATCTTCATTTGTTTTCCACAAGAAATGAGCATAGATTCTAGAAATTTCCTTATAGATGGACATTGGTAGCCGGAAGCAAGACATAGTGAATGTTGGAAGAGATTGCAGTACTGACTTAATCAGCACCTCCTTGCCTGCAAGAGATAACAGTTTGGCTTTCCAACTTTGCAACTTCTTTTGAACTGATTCAATCAAGTAATCAAAAACTTCCTTCTTTAACCTGCCAATTCCAAGAGGTAGCCCAAGGTATCTTGTTAACCTGTGAGATTGAATTCCATGAAGTGTTGAACAGATTCTCTGTTTGATATGGAGTGGAGTACTTATGCTAAAGAAAATAGCCAATTTCTACAAATTGACAGTTTGACCTATAAATAATTTGTATCTATCCAGCAAGTTAAGAATTGTCTAAGCCTGATTTTCTTCTGCTTTACAAAACAACAATGAATCATCTGCAAAGAGCAGATAAGACAAAAGAGCACCATTTCTAGATATTTTCAGACCATGCAGCTGACCAACATTAGCAGCATCCAAAATAAGGACAGATAACATCTCAGCAATGATAATGAATAAATATGCAAAGGGTCACCCTGCCTGAGCTCCCTTGATGGTTTGATGTACCCACAGTTTGTGCCATTGACTTTGAAGGAGAGAGTAGAAGTGGAAATACAGACAAGAATCAGTTTCACAAATTCCCTACTGAACCCCATTTGAATCATGATTTTCTTCAGACTTAACCACTCAACTCTATAAAAACCTTTCATCAAATCCAATATAATAGCCATAAACCAGTTTTTCCCTGAACTATGTCTATTAAGATAATAGAAAGCTTCTTGAGCTATGATTACATTGTCGAAGAGCTGTCTTCCTATAACAAAAGCTGAATGAGAATGGTTAATGCAGTTATCCAGACAGAATTCAAGCCTTTGAGCAAGAATTTTGGAGAGCACTTTGTAGACCACCGTGCATAAACTGATTGGTCTAAATTAGTTTAAAGATTCTGGCACAACACACTTAGGAATGAGAGACAGAATAGTGTGGTTCCAATAATGCAAAAGAGAAGCATATTAAAAGAAGCTCTTAATAGCAGAAATGAAATCAGCTTTGATCAATTCCCAAAATTGTTGAAAAAATAAGCATTCATACCATCCTCTCCCGATGATTTCTCTAGATTTAATTGAAAGAGAGCCTCTTTTATATCTGCTTCATCTATTGGTTGCAAAAGGGCGGTGTTTTGATTATGAGTGGTGGATTGAGGAATCAGTTGAATAATGGATTCACCGCCAATAGTTCCTTATGTGGCAAAGAGTTTTGAATAGAAGTCTTCAATGTGAGTTTTCATTTTCTGTTGAGTGTAGAATTCCTTTCTTCTTGCTGAGACCAGCCTTGATATTGCATTCATTCTCCTTCTTTGCTGGACATATGCATAAAGAATTTAGTGTTACTGTCTCCCTGGTTGAGCCAAGTAATCCTGGACATTTGCTGCCAAAAGGATTCCTCAAAGTGGTGTGCTTTGTTTAGTTATGTTCTGGTGGATGCCCATTCTTCCCATTTGTTTTCTGAATGATCCTCTTGGTGAGGGCTTCAATCTTTCATTGATTCTGTGCGTGAAAGGATGAACTCCACTGAAGTAGAGCCAATCTGGTTGCTTTGACTTTTTCTTTGAGCTTGAAAAAAGGAGTTCCATCAACATGAGAATTCCCAGCCTTAGCAACAGTTTCTCTCATACCTTTCATACCAATCCATCTCATGTCAAAAGAAAATCTCTTGGGTACCCTTTCTCTAAGAATTTATGTATCAATAAGAAGAAGGGAGTGGTCTGAAGAGCTTCTAGCTTTGTTTAACACCTTGGCATTGGGATAAGTCCAGTGTTTTAAAACGCGCATCGCGCATTGCGTCGCGTTTTTGTCCTTATATTGCGTAGCGTAAATAGCGTAGCGTATTGCGTAAGCTATTCGAGCAGTCACTTTTAATGCCAAAAATAATAATATATATTACCATACAAGTAAATAAATAATTGAAATAGTCTTAAAACATAAATTTGGACATTAAATTCAAAAAAACAACACTCAAATATTAGTCCATACAAACAACCTATAGTCAAAAAAAAAAACAAAACAAAAACAAAAACAACAACAACAACCCAAAGTCATAATCTTCAAAGTACAGACTCAAAATCTAAAAATAATCGGTCTCATCCAATTGAATTTGACTATCATCGTCAATACTATCAAAGTGTGGGAGATTTCCACTATCAAAGATCATTGGTCCAGTTTCACCAAATTCTTGCATCTCCTCATCATCATGAATGTCAATAGGATCCTTGCTTCCACCTGTTACATACAAGTACATTAAGAGCTAACATTTTTTTAAAAAAAAAAAAGCATACTTACTTGAGCTTTAACCGACTCTTTTCTTCTTCATTATTGGAGAATGATTTTGATCTTCATTATCAACATCAATTTCAACTCGCTTATCCGAATCCAAAAAGCTATCAAAAGTTTTCGATGGCATACTAAAAATAGGATCCCCTTCAAACAACCATCATCAACAAGCCAAGTAGTATTATTCGGGAGGGGCGAATCTTCTAACTCTGTTATCCACTCATCATCCGACTCAATTTCATCAACTATAATGGGATCCATCTTGTCTCTCCGTCTAATACTTCTCTCTTTTAATCTATAGTTGTACTTCACAAAGACCCAAAGCATTCAATCTTGAATGTTCAAGTCTATTCCTATTCTTCTTATGTATCTAAGAAAAAGGAAAAGAAAAACATTTAGCAAATTTAGTTAATAAGAAAAAAAAATAAAAATTATTAAAGTGGTTGATTAAAAAATAATATTATCGACTCAAATGTGCTCCAATTTTTTTCACATCACGAAGCGCTACAAGTAAGACTAAGAACCCGTATAGAAAATCTCATAAGCTCGAGTGTTTTGCTTCCAAACCGTTCCCACCATTTGGCTAAAATAATAATAAAAAAAGTCAATAACTATTTAAAGTCGTAAAAAATGCATGAAAGTACTATGAATATTATACCTGGAGAACACAACATTCTAGACTTCTTAGCAATTGGACTTCCAAATTCTCCTTGTGCATTGTCATAAAAATCCAATTGAATATCGGCTTGAAGACGATCGTCGGGCGATAATATTCGGTCCATGCACGCATACATTCCATCTTTAACTTCCGAAGTACTGCAAAAGGAATCTTCACAATGCAATTGCGGGTTCAAATAATATCCAGCTGCATGTAGGGGATGGTGAAGTTGTGGAGCCCATCTATCATCAATTTTTCTCCAAATTGGCATATATTTTTTTTGAACACCCCCCACAATTAAACTTAATGGTCTCCTTTGTCCTTCTTATGAGCTCATAAATATATCACATGGCCGGCCTCTTTTCAGAATCAACCTCCCTTAAGACGCTAACAAGGGGCACAGTGCTTTTAACACAAAATGCTACATGCGGCAAAAAATCGGGATCATTGATAACAATTCTTTTAATAAGTTTTCCTTCACCTTTTTTATCTTGAGGAGAACTAACCCATTCTTCAGAAGCAAACATGATTTCAAGAGGCCTCTTTTGTTTGTACATGCTTTGAAGGGTTAAGAAAGCAGTGGCAAAGCGAGTTACCGCGAGACGAAGAAGCTCTTTCCCGTTTGTATGCTTCCTTATCAAAGAAAGGATAGTGTCATGGACATAAATAAACTTCACAACTCTTTTAGCCTTTTCGATCATATCTGAAAATATACTCAATTTTGCAATTGATTCCAACATGAGATCAATGCAATGTGTCGCACAAGGTGTCACCATAAAGATTTTCGTGTCATCATCAACTTTTCCCCTGCCTTTACACAGTTACTAGCATTATCAGTGATAAACTGGATAACGTTATCCTCCCCTATCTCATTCACAATGTCATCAAGATAGTTTAAAATCAATTCACTATTTTTGATAGAGTCAGAAACATCACCGAATTTCAGAAAAAAAGTGCTGGCAGGGCTATTCACTAGAAAATTTAGTAAAGCTCTACTTTTCCCATCCGTCCGCCCAATGGATATTATAGTACATCCATATGTTTTCCAATTTTTTTGTGCTCCTCATAAATAACATTAATGTCACTTACCTCGGATTTAAGCAACCGCGTTCTTAGTTCATGCATGGAAGGGGGTTTGTACCCTCTACCATATTCCCCAATTCCCTCGACCATCGGTGACCAATGAGGATCGTTGACGACATTGAAGAAAAGTCCCGCAGAGTACACAAAATGAGCAACTCAACGATCAATCTCTTTTTTTTAATTCCTTTTTGTATGCTGAATTTATAGTTGTCTGTCTCGATTCGGAATGGACAAACTCGTCCAATGTGCTGGTGCCTTTAGAAATGGCTATTACTTCCTCTGTGTGAAAAACCGTCCATATCAGAAATAGATTGATACAATCTACTGCCCGTTGGACCCTCGCCAATCTCTCGTAGCAATTCATTCCTCTTGTTTTTTAGAGTCTTGAAAGTTTGAAGACTATCTCTAATTTCCTTGCTCACCTCAGCTGGAACCTTATCACAAGGTGCAACACTTTTTCGGGTTTGTGCTAAATGTTCTTTTAGACGAGTAATGCCCCCATTTGATCTGTGATAGCAAAATTTGCATTCAATGCTTCTCTCCCCGTCTACTTTAATAGCATATTTCCAACCGATATCTCTGTTTGTCGTCATTTAAACTGAAAATGGAACAAAAAAATATTATTAACACAAAGTTATTCATTTATTCACAAATCACATCATTGAATATTCATAAGTTAGCAGTATTTTGTCTTATATTCAGAGATGCTATATTATTGTTTCTACTTTTTATATCACTTGAAAAAAATTACCCCTCATACAGCTTAATTTTATTTGACTCCCCAGTTACGACAAGCATAAATTTATATTAATAGCATTCGACTTCAATGGCTTTAGTGCATCTTCAATGTTATTAAGTTGTAGCTTGACAATTGTTCCAAATGGCAATAAATTATACAGATGTGCATCCATTATCCATACAAAAATGGATGCTAAGTTCACTACATCTTGTTTAAAAAATGTCTCCCATGCATTACATATGTAACACCCCGCTTATCAGAGTAAATTTTTCGCAATCTTTTTAACTCAGGATGCTACTAAAACTTATTTTCTTTAAAATTTGTTTCCTTAAGCTTGATCTAACAATTGAGTTAAACATAAGTAAAACAAATTCAATATCGAACAAGTATGGAAAACTAAAGTTGTTTATAATGACAATTCGGAATTCATTTAAATATAAAACTTAAATCTCAAATCACACATGTTTAAATCTCAAAAGAAAAACGTAGCGGAATATCTTACAAGCATGGCATAAAAACCGAAACCTTTATTTAAAAATCCATAATAGCAAATGAATCAAAATCACGACCGATACCACCACAACTTGTCTAACACCTGCGCACCGACCCTATTTCCTGAAAATGATAATAGCGGGTTCGTGAGTACTAATCCACTGTACTCCGTAAAAACTCATACTAAAGTAAACAGTAAGAATAATATCAATATCATAATTCTCGGTATGTAACTTGAACTTGAACTTTGCTTTGCAACTACCGTACTGTCGGTTCTCACGTGATCATATTTTGGAGGTTGCCTCCCCAAAACTCAGTCTTGACTGAGCGAGTCTAATCTGAACTTAGGATGTCTAATAAAGGACTAGGTCCTCCACCCCAAGTACTTAGGATGTCTAATAAAGGACTAAGTCCTCCACCCCAAGTAATAACTTAAATACATACCTTGAATATGATAATAGTTATTATACTCAATGTAATATCCAGGCTGGGTTCCCACCTTTCTTCTCGAAAAGTATTGAAAAATTGTAACTGTTGCTCTTGGTAGCCGAACTTCTCACGCTACATAAAAATATAAACAAATATACTAAGTACTATGCTCGAATACTCAATAAGATATTGAGATTCTTAACTTTAACTGATAACTTTTAACTTATCCGAATCTGGCCAAAATGCTATAGCTCAAATAATCATAATACTTTTAATAATCAAACTCTTAATAAATCATCATTTGATGCCAAAACTTTACATAGATCATGCTTTCTAAATAACAGTTTATAAACTTGCAAGTGAAAAATATCTAACACATGCTCTTCAAAATTTCACATTAATTATTATAATGAGAAATTTCATACTAAAATTCATATTAACATGCTTTATCTATAATTTTAGTAATTACTCCATTCAACTCATTTTAAGTTTAACTTTAACATATGTATTCTCAACATATATATAAAGTTACCATAAAAATTTCACTTTAAAATAATACTCATATATTTAGATATATTATTTCAAAGTTGACAATATAACAAAATATTCAATTTGCTATCATACTTGTCTCTGAAAAAAAAATCTATTTCTCATGCTTCAATTATCTAAAAATCTTAAAACTTTCAATCATAAGTCTCAATTAAATCAAAAAATATCCTGTAAATTTTCTCATAAAAATAATAACCATAAAGTAAGATATGAATTTCCAAATAATGCTTCTCTTGTTGAAATTCGAGATTTACTCACTTATGTTCATTATTTTCTATAGCATGCTAAACAATTCCAATAAATATAAAATTTAAACTGGAAGATCTTAACTAATATATGAATTGACCATAAAATTCTCAACTCAAAATAATATCAATAGGTAGGGTAATTTTATATCACAAGTCATCATTACTACACAGATTTTTCACTGGACAACACCTTAATCAATGATTTTTATAAAATTCATTTTAACTTCAATTAATCTAAAAATTTCTAGTAATACCCTTAACATAATGATGATCTCATATAAAATTTTTCATAATTTTTAGAATTTAATAGCTTGGACAAAAACGAACAAACATAGGCAGCTGCAACATAAACTTCAAATAATCTTACTTTATAAACTTATTATATATATTTATATATATCAAATTTATAATTTCTAACATGATAACATATCAAAAACACATATAAATACTTATAATTCTTAACTATACTTGATGATATTAATGTTTAAAGACATACATCTTCTACTCTTAAGAAAAGAAACTTGCTCCAAACACTTCTCGAAATTGCTCGGTTTCTCTCTTAAATACTCGATTCTCACTATTTCTCTCTTATAACATAAATTCTGAATTTTTGAGGTGTAATACTAACATTGAAGAATGCTCCTATTTATAGGAAAATTTTAGGGAACAAATTTCACCAAAATTCAATTAAATATCATAAAAAAAATATTTATCTCATCTACTATAAGCTGTATTATGCGTGAGTAACATGAGCTGATCTTTCAGCTCAAATTATTGCTTTAATAACTCACAATCACTCCTAATATAATACCAATGAATTAATCAATGGAACCATACTTTAAAAAAATTGATAAAAAAAAAAAAAAAATCAATTTCAATGCTAAGATGCTTCGGCCTTGACATTATATGACCGAATGATTGCTTCCTTTGAGTTTTTTAAAAAAATCATCTCCAATAATGTACTAACCATTTCACCTAAAATGCTTTGAGAAATTTTCTTTTTTTAGAACATACTTCAATAAAATAATAGCACACTAAATAACAAGAGAACATGATTCATGCTGAAAAAATAATATAGCGTAATGATGGTTGATAAAAATAACAATTCTAATGACCCCATTTCATCTAAAAAAAAAACACACTTATAAAAAATATTTTTGTAAAGTGATGACTATTCTCATTAAATTTTCTCAGCATTATTGCTCAATTGGCATGAATATATAACTCTAAAAAAACTAATATTAATATATGATCTTGGAAATATTAAAAATAACCAAATTCATGGAACCGTATTCGGACTTAAAACGAACGGTTACAAATCGACTTGGAAAATTTCTCAAAATATTCTCGAATTCGATAAATTCATTAACTTGGAATAATTAATCCCGACTTATAATGTCCATTTCTAAAAATAAACAGACAAGAATTAATTACTGAAACTGGCTCTATTACTGAATATAATTTAACCGAGAAACTGGCTCGATTACTGAATATAATAATCGAGGATATTTTCGACTTAAAGTCGAACTTATAACTTAATAACTGGACTCAGAACTAGGAACGAGCATTATTAATAAAAGTAAATAGTTCAAACTCAGAACTAAAATAATTACTTTTATTAATAACTGAGTGGGATATTACAATCTATCCCCCTTAAATTATTTCCGTCCTCAGAAATACTGAAATAAAGAAAACTAAAATACATACTTACTGAGAACATCAAAACTCGAAATCTGGAAATCGAGCTCTAATATCAGCTTCTCGCTCCCAAGTGGCATCTGATTCTCCGTGGCGATTCCATTTGATACGAACGAGAGGAACATCTCGCTTCCTGAGCCTATGAACCTTTCGGTCCAAAACGGCTACCGGCTGCTCCTCATAAGTCAAATCTGGCAAAATTTGAATCTCATTGTGCCGAAGCACATGATCTGGATCGCACACATAAGCACGTAACATAGATAAGTGAAATACATTATGCACACTTGCCAACTCAGGAGGTAAAGCTAATCGATAAGACACTTCTCCGACCCGTTCAAGAATTTTAAACGGACCAATATAACGAGGATGCAACTTTCCTTTCTTCCCGAAACGAACGACACCTCGCATTGGTCGAACTTTCAGGAAGACTTTTTCTCCTACCTCAAAATGCATTTCTCGTCTATGTTTATCGGCTGAAGACTTTTGCCAACACTGAGCGGTCTTGAGTCTTTCTCGAATCCAGGCTACTTGCTCGACTGTCTCCTCGATCATCTTTGGACCAAGTACTCTTCTCTCTCCAACATCGTCCCAATAAAGAGGCGAACGACACTTACAACCATAAAGTGCTTCGTAGGGAGCCATCTTGATAGATGCATGACAACTGTTATTATAAGCAAACTCGACTAATGGCAACCACTTCTCCCACTTGGCACCTCTGTCCAAAATACAAACTCTGAGCATATCCTCGAGAGTCTGGATCGTCCTTTCAGACTGGCTGTAACACCCCACTTTGATTTTTAAAGAAATTCCGGACTTTCCAAAAATCAGTGTAAAATTTTCAAAATCATTTTCAAAAATTCAATGGGTGTTAAACAACATTTTTCATAACCCAAGTCTTATCTGGGCTCACGGGGATTCATTACCCGGTTTTCACA